GGCACTCTATACAGTACACACAAATCAGAGAGAGCTCAATTAGGCCCCATGTGACTTAATTTATGTCAGGACATCATCTTAGTTTTTACAAGTAAAATTTATATGCAGCTCAAAAATCTATTGTACTTGATGCTAAAACAGTAGGTGCTTAGTATCATTTTTACAGTAATGGGGCGAGGATGCCTTTATGTCAATAGTATTCCAGATAGTGACAACCATAATAATAGTGCTACATATAAAATATACAGTATTTTCCAGCATATAAGGTGCACAACAAAAGTATTGTAATGGTAAACCAGTAATCATATTCAAGGGCTGATGACCCTAGTACTTTGTGCTAAAGCATATCCCAAAGCCTACCCATGACCCTGACCTTGAAAATATAAGGTGCAGGGTGATTTCCAAGAATTTCTGTGGGAAATAAAGGTGCACCTTATGTGCCAGAAAGTATGGTATAAGGTTTTTGTAGTGGAGGTAAATAAACATAAATGTTTGTAGAAGGTTGATGAATAGCAAGCTTTCAGGAAGGTGCTTCTGTCCTGTCATGTGACTGTAAAGCAGAATCCTTTAAAGTATTTTTCACTCTGTGGGATTGCTGGTAATTTTTTTTGTCTTATGAATGTGTAAGAGTGCAGGTAAATCTTACAAACATTTGCATACATTCAGCACGTTATACACTTCTTTCTTGTATATTTTTTATAACTCTTATTTCTGTAATATTTCCTTTTCAATTGAGAAGTGGTCTGAGACTGGGCTGTTAGGTTAGTGATCTCCACAACCATTAACAGATTTTTTTTTTTTCAACAAACTGGCTGTATCCCACCAAGTCAGGGTGGCCCAAAAAGAAAAACGAAAGTTTCTCTTTTTAAATTTAGTAATTTATACGGGAGAAGGGGTTACTAGTCCTTTGCTCCGGCATTTTAGTCGCCTCTTACAACACGCATGGCTTACAGAGGAAGAATTCTGTTCCACTTCCCCATAGAGATAAGAGGAAATAAACAAGAACATGAACTAAAAAGAAAATAGAAGAAAACCCAGAGGGGTGTGTATATATATGCTTGTACATGTATGTGTAGTGTGACCTAAGTGTAAGTAGAAGTAGCAAGACATACCTGAAATCTTGCATGTTTATGAGACAGAAAAAAAGGACACCAGCAATCCTACCATCATGTAAAACAATTACAGGCTTTCGTTTTACACTCACTTGGCAGGACGGTAATACCTCCCATTAACAGATATAAAGTGTAAATATAGTTTATCAGATTAATGACAGGAAATTGCTGGTAGTTGATTAATTGACAACTACAGTGTTGCAGTTATTTGTTTCAACTTGCCTGTCACATGTCAGATGTTATTGTGTTACTACTTTTTGTTTTTAACATACCAGCCATCTCTTACTGGGGTAGGGTGATCTGAAAAAGAAGAAACATTTTACCATCATTCACTCCATCACCGTCTTGCCAATACTCAAGTCTGGCTAACCGGTTACTCTGCTCACACTTCAACAGCACATCCAGTCATAAAAACCACTTGCCTCCTCTTACTCCAATCTAACACACATTCACATGCATATTGAATGTTCAAGCCCCTTTCATTTCAAACCTCCTCTACTCCTTCCCTCCAACCTTTCCATATTGACCCTGTCTTTAATATCTCAAAAGACAAATAATTAACTAATATTTTTTTTTTTCAACAAGTCGGCTGTCTCCCACCGAGGCAGGGTGACCCAAAAAAGAAAGAAAATCCCCAAAAAGAAAATATTTTCATCATTATTCAACACTTTCACCTCACTCACACATAATCACTGTTTTTGCAGATGCGTTCAGAATACAACAGTTTAGAAGCATATACGTAAAAAGATACACAACATATCCTTCCAAACTGCCAATATCCCAAACCCCTCCTTTAAAGTGCAGGCATTGTACTTCCCATTTCCAGGACTCAAGTCTGGCTATATAAAAATAACCGGTTTCCCTGAATCCCTTCACTAAATATTACCCTGCTCACACTCCAACAGCTCGTCAGGTCCCAAATATCATTCATCTCCATTCACTCCTATCTAACACGCTCACACACGCTTGCTGGAAGTCCAAGCCCTTTGTCCACAAAACCTCCTTTACCTCCTCCCTCCAACCTTTTCAAGGATGACCCCTTCCCCCCCCTTCCCCCCTACAAATTTATATGCTCTCCATGTCATTCTACTTTGATCCATTCTCTCTAAATGACCAAACCATACTTTTAATTATTTATTTTTCAACAAACCGGCCATGTCCCACCGAGGCAGGGTAGTAACAAAAAAAAAGTTTGTTTTTCAATTTAGTAATTTATACAGGAGGAGGGGTTACTAATCCCTTGCTCCCAGCATTTTAGTTACCTCACTTTATATTATTGTATGCAGTAAAATACCATACTGTATATTATTATATACAGTATACAATACAGTGGACCCCCACCTTATGATATTAATCCATTCCAGAAGTCTGTTTGGGTGCTGTTACCGAACGAATTTGTTTCCATAAGGAAAATTGTAAATTAGATTAGTCCGTTTCAGACCCCCAAAAATACACGTACAAAAGCACTTACAAAAATACACTTACATAATTGTTCGAGTTGGGAGCTGATCGTAAGGCGGGGGTCCACTGTATTTAGATGCTATTTGAAATTAGGTAACACTGCTTAATCAGGCCTTAAACTGTATAATTCAGCACATGATACAAAAGCATAGAGGTGGTATTTTTGAATTGCTGTATATTTTTTAAGCTACTTTATGTTTGGTGTTTGAAGCTTTACAATCATATAAGAAAAATGTTTATTAATAAAATTAATTCCCACACTAGGCCTGTCATGGCTCTTACCCATGCATAGTTTGAGGATTAAGTTTTCACTGTGACCCTGTGCTCTTATTTCCTGCCTCTCTAACAGTCTTTCCTTGTCTACCCTATGAAAGTATAGTCTACAGTATTTTGTACATTTTTTGGGTGCATTACCGTATTTCCAAAATTGTTTCTCACTGTTCTGTTTATGTATATACTCGTATGTTTTTGTAAACCGGAGAGAGCTTGTATAATGAAAAGTTGTTTAAAATTATATTCTCTACCTTGTGGTGTTCTAAATATAATTTGTGTTTAAGGTTTGAAGTATTGTAATTGTATATGAATTTCCATGTTAGTTTATGCACTTTTATTATTAAAGGTATTCAGTTTGCAGAATAAAAGATATTGTTCCATGTATCCCTGAAGGCAGCAAAAGAGAGTTGAAGGCTTTAATTATACTATTGCTGAAAGGTGTGAAAACCCTCAACAATTTTTTCACTTTGCAAAATTTGTGGGTACCAATATATTATATTTTTTTATGGTCTACATTAAGTACATGAATGATAATGTAATACTTAGGGTAACAATTTTTTTTTTTTTTTTGAGAAGGCTAACAAAGTAGTACATTAATACTTAGGTTTACAGCATATGAAAGGGAAGACCAACACACTATAATTTAGTTGCTGTTATGGTGGTTTTTAGTATTGTTTCTCGAATGTTAAAGTTTAAATTATAAATAGCATTCCTTTCGTCAAGCCGTTGTGCCAAATTGTGGCAGCACAGGATTTGTCCGAATTGATCATTTGTATGTTCTAGGGGGAATAATTAGAGATAGATAAAGGGTGGGTTTGCATGACCATAAAACTGGTTTTTGTCCCACAGGATACGGCAGGCTTGATTACTCAGGACAATGTAAGTACTTTGCATGCTGTGTCGGAGGATGTGCATGGTGGGCTGTACATTATGTGCACCTCACAGCATGTTTTAATAGCAAAATGTATCCTGTAGCTAATTGGTGCATGGTAATATGCATGAGTATGTAGTTGGGCTCCACTGACTGCCTTACCCATTCATCCATGCCTGTATGCACCTCCCGCTCCCCATTACTCCACTCGTCTTACCCCGGCCAACTCTTACTTTATTCTCCTGGGCCATGGGCTTGGTTATTTCCTTGACCATGGGCTTAGTGGTCATCTCCTGGGCTGTTTACTACCATCTGTGGTGATATTCATTTCCGCTCAGTTTTTCTTTTTTATCAAAAATTTACAAATGATTTAATTCGTTCGAAAGTTAAGGAAATTGGTATTCAGCTAAATTAGTGGCAGTGGTCCTTAAGTACTAAAACAAAAAGGCTCCTCTTGATCAATGTCATTGCCACCTTAAGAAGTATTATAATTTAGGATTACTTTAATGTTTCTCAAACTGCAAGTATTTTTAGTTCTTAATTAAAAACATAAGAATGTCCAAAATTTTATTTGGCTTATGTGGCTGAGCTTTATAAATTTACAATTTGGTAAATTTGTCTTTCATTAAGCTTTGTTGGGTAGAGTATGGTGTAGCGGTATCTTTGGAGCAGCTTTAACCTTCTGACGGTTGTTTAATTGGTTATTATATAGGGCTCACCTTAGACATTTCAAAGCAGATATGCCTTCCTCCATTTTGTTTTCTTAAGTTTTATTTTTAATAGTCTTTAATTGGTAATGAAGTTAGCTATTACTGTACTACAATCAAGCTCACGAAAGTTGTATGAAAGTCAGACTCGCCACTGTCAACACCCATCAGAGGACCCACTGGCCAGGAGAAAAGATGAGTGAGAGATAAAGTCAGTGGTGTAAAGGCTTGGTTGTTTGCCTGATGTTGCAGATGATGGAGTTGCCTCACCCTGACCCCAGCAGCAGGTGGCTGCAAACCACCGTATAGCCTTCCTTCCCCCGTTAGTGCTCAACCCCAGTGCTCTCTTCGTGCCAGTCAGGCTGCTCCACAGGTGAGTTTCACACCATACTCCCCTACCTGGCTTTCACTCTTTAAATCCTTCCCTTCCCTTCCTTTACCTTCCCTTCCTTTACCTTCCCTTTCCTTTCCTTCCCTCCCCTTCCCTCCCCTTCCCTTTCCACAATTCTGTAGCTGCATTGTCATCCAATGTAATTTTCCTGTATATTCATGATGACACCATTTGTGATTTTACAGTTTCTAACCTCGCACAAAGCGGCCATCTGTACCTCGGAAGATTTCTTGCCTTTGCACCCTGGAGTTTTATTGCATAATTTTAATATAACTGAAGTGAGTATGAATACCATTAGAATATCACATGAATTCCCTTCATACCATTGCATTAATGTTTTAATATTGATAGTTTTGTTTTTATTGCATCTTATTGTTCTGTGCCTATTAGTGGTTGCATTATATCCTACCCCACCATCTATCATTGTTGTAGAATCTAAGGATTTTAGTGCATATGCTCACAGTATTCTTAATAAAAGCTAATATTTTTACTTAGATTTGTTGATTTTTAATGCTTTAAATATTTTGTAGTTTTCGTGATAACAGATACCAACATTGAAGTGCTGTGAAGATCAGGATAACTTGTTAACTACAGTATCATTCCATATACTATTATCATTATCAGTGAATGTTGATAGCTAAAGAAATGAACGTGGCATAAAACGAGGGTTTTTTGAAAAATTAAGGCTGAATCATGTACAGTACATACGGTAGAAAGCTTATCATTCTCATTTTTTTAATTCACTGATTTACAATATACATATTTTAAATTGTAGGGATATTTTTGTGGGCTAAGTTGGAATTGTGAAAAAGAAAGATAATTTAAATTATTGAGAAGAGCAGTGAGTGCTCAAAAATTGGGTAGGAATGTTCAGGTTCCAAAGGTATATAGTGAAGTCTGTATTCTTCTGTACCCTGCTGTTTTTTCACAAGTTCTTGGTTGTCATAATTCAAATAGCACTCTGAACTTCAACATCCCTCCCCCATCCTAGGGAGAGTATGACAGTTGCACCTCCCATCTTTGGAGCTCAAGTCTAGCTAACTGATTTTCTGTTATCCTTTCATAAGTGCTTCCTAACTCACATTCCAACATCAAGTCAGATCCCAGAAATACTGTTTGTCTCTGCTCCAATCAAACATGTTCATGCATGCCTGCTGAGTGCTGAAGCCCCACAAGTCCTTCCTTAAATGTTCCCTACACCACCACCTATTCACCCTGTATTTATTAACCCTCTTGGTTAGCATACCCTGCTTCATCCTTTCTAAGGGGCAAACTATCTCAACAACTCTTCTCTCATAATTATATCTTTCATACCACCATACTGCCTCCAGATTCTTTTGCCCCTTACTCTTTGCATAATATTCATATAATACACTGGTGATTTCAAACATGGAATCTCTACTGCCTCCAGCCTCCTCCTCACTGTAACATTCAAAGACCATGCTTCACAGCCACTTCCCTCTCTCCTACATACCTTAACTTGAGCCTCTACCTGTGTTTTATTATTTTAGTGCCTTCTCTGGTAAAAATATTTAAATTGGTCACCTTTCCAATGACCTGGAGTATTTGGTATGTTATGGAAATAGTCACTCTTGTTCTTTGTTCTTCAAGAGACAGGAGACCTGGCTTTCCCAACCTTTTTTTTTTTTTTCAAGCTTCCCTGCATGAACTCAAAGTTGTAATAAATAGCTGTTTAAGAATAGATGCTCTACATTCAAAAAAGGTTTCAAATGTTAAGTAAAGAGTATTTTGTTTGTAATTGCAGTTTTATAGCTACAGCGGCATTTACTCTTAATGTCCCATTCTTGGTTTTTCATCTATAATTTTATGTAGTATCCAGTGGTTGCTATTACTATACCTCAGTGTATGTCTCTTTTCATTATTCTTCCTTTTTTTTTTTTTTAACACCCTCTCCTCACTTCAGAACTGTAGCCTTGCACTGCTAGCATTTAAGTCAACATGCTTCTTCTTTTATACACTTTTATTACCTTTTTTTACACAAGTCATTTTAATCGGATCATGTTCCCTATTTTCCTTCTATCAGCCAATGGGGCATATCTGATGTTTTCAGCATTTCTTTCTAACTCATATTTTGTAGTTCAATTATTTTTGATTAGCACATTTATATATGTTTCATACAGTCTAGATACATATATTCAGTCAGTCCTTTCTTCTCTTTCTTCTCACTATATATTTCTATTTCCAAATTCATGCTGTGTTCTACAAGGGCATTAAGGCTTTCTAGAAAGTGAAAATGGTGAAAAGGTCCCTTTTTTTTTTCGTTTCCATTTATTAAGGACATTGGTATGTAGTTAAGGGCATCATGCCAATTTTTTTTTTTTTTGTTTTTTAATATTGCTACATTTCAATTGTTTGATATTTTCAGAGATGTTAATTATCTGTTAAATATGTGTGAAGCATCACTGCAGTAATTTAGGTCCTCTTTGAATTCTTGGTGATATTTTTTTTTAATCTTAAACCAACCCAAATTTTCTCAAATCACTAGTGTGGTCCATCTATTCATGCCAAAAAACAGCTAATAAAACTGCAAAAACCATCCTAAGAAATGCCCCAAAGTTGCTATTTTAAACCTCAAATGCAGGGTCAGAGGTAACTTTTCTCATCATTCATTGCATGAGGCAGGCTTTTTTTTGTATGTGCACACCCACTGCACAGACTCATTCTTTCATGTATAGGTCAGAATTTGCTATTCACAGCAAATTTGAGGGCTCTATAAATTGTGTAATAGTATGTCATAGCCTCTGATTGCTATGATGTACTGGTACATGATGGACAGCCTGAAGGTTATTTTTTCAATAGTACTACTAGTAATTTTAATGTTTGATATTTTCTCTTGGATTACCTACCCTTTTAAGTTTGGCACTGGCCCTCAGTCATTTGTAAGCATAATGCAGTCTTCAGTTAAGCTCATTGCATATTTCCGTCATTTTTGGTGAGTGTTCCCTCTTCTTTTCTCAATTCTCATTTTCCTGGGACTTCATTTACACTTTCTGGTCATCACCTTGCTTTCATCCACCATACATCAAGATAGTCACATAACTTGTTAATATTAACCATGACATCTCCAATGCTTCTATCCTCCTTGCTGTAACATTTAAGGACCACCATGACACTACTCTGTTTCCATTGATAAACTTCCTTCCATAGATTTCCTATTGCCCCAGCTACCTACTTTTTGTCATCTATTTTTCTTATTCACCTTGGTATTTACATACCCATCTATTAACACAACCAGTTGTATATACTATCTAAATACAGAATGTTGACTTCTGACTTAAAATCTTTCATTGTCCAATCCTTTTTTTACTTTGATTACCTTGCTCTTTTCTGTTTTCATCTTAAACTTGGTTGTTCATTACAATAAATGGTAATTACCATGGTGAATACTGTTTTATGTAAAATTCATAATCTCTCTCTGTATTCATTGTGTTTACATATTTATGTATTGTGCCAAGATCATAACTTGGTAACAGATGGAACAATTCTAGTGATCAAAATAGTCAGATTACCTCTTTCTTTATGTTTAGATTCAAAATTGTTGCTACAATGGCATAGGCATAGTTGCAAAAAACTGTGCTCCAACACTCCACCACACACCATCATCATCACTACAGTACCTTTATGTTAATGAGAATGCAAACTGAACAGGATGAAAGAAAGCTACAAAAAGACCTGGATAGATTTAAGAAATGGGTGGATAAATTATGTACTATAATTCAGGTCAACCAAATACAATTATGATGCTGGGAGCCAACACCATTTTTGGAAGTAGGGCTCACAAAAACAGGTAAAGAAAAAGACCTTGCAGTAATCCTTACACTATACCTGTTCCCTGATGTACTTATAAACAAAATAACATCAGGAGCATAGGATAAGCTTGTAGAGATAAGAATGGCATACAGGAAAGACTTGTTCAAAACACACTTTACCATGTGTAACCCATTCTTGGATATGTAATGCCAATGCAGATCCCTCCACTTGTTAAACAGAGTAAAACTTAAGAGTACAGAGGAGTGCATAAAGACTGGTCCCTGAGCTGACAGAAATGATCTACAAAGACTTTGATCTACAAAGACTTTGCTGGAAAAATGAATAACATGAAGGTAGATCACAACATACAGAACATTAAAGAGTAGACAAGGATGCACCAAGAACAAGGAAACATGGTTGGCTACACTCAAATGAGCACTAGGACATCAGGAAATGTTTCTTTAGTGTAAGAGTGGTTTAGAAATGAATGAGCTGAGCAATGACAATGGAAGCAAATTTCATATAGGGATTCAAAAACAGATATATTCATGGAGAAGCCCTCAATTTTTAGAGGTCAAAGAGCACTAGGAAATGAGAGGTAATCAAAGTTATGAGGATGGGAAGGGCAGCTTAAATTCCTTGAATCAAGAAGCCTTCACCAGCATCAATGTGAAAAATAGATCTGTCAAGACTCATTCATTCTGGTTGGTAGGAAAAGAGGCAGGACCAAGAGCTAGAGCTCGCCTCCCATTCCCTTGCATACTCGGATAGGTAATTGTCATCATTACAGGTATGATAATACTTATTTGTACCCAATATTAATTGAAAAAAAATCAGTGCTTAGGGCACACATATTCTTTTGTGAATTATCCTCCTCTTGCTGATACTTAAAAACAATCTCCTGTGAATATTGAAAGATTGCTGTTTATGCACGCATATGTATGAATGAATGTATGAATGTATGTATGTATGTACGTATGTATGTACGTATGTATGTACGTATGTATGTACGTATGTATGTACGTATGTATGTATGTACGTATGTATGTACGTATGTATGTACGTATGTATGTATGTACATATGTATGTACGTATGTATGTATGTACGTATGTATGTATGTATGTATGTATGTATGTATGTATGTATGTATGTATGTATGTATGTATGTATATGTATGTATGTTGTGGAGATGCAAATTTTAATTATTAATTTTCTTGGTCCTAATGAGTTTTCTTCATTTTTTTAAATAACATTGATGCAATAATTTGTCCTTTATTTCACATACATATTACATAATTCACATTAGCATGTTTAGCATTAGGATACACAAATTACAAAAGTGATTATAATTATATTCCATGGTCTACCATTGCTTGTTTCAAAGTCACAGATTGTTAGGATTTCTGCATGATATTTTGGCACACAAATTGCATGACATTGCATTGACCTTTTTTTGACTTGCAAAGCAGTGGTACTGTTTTTTGTTGTTTCGCACTGGTGAATAAGAGTGAGTACGAACATGCACGCATGTCATGGCTTTTAATATGGGTAAAGGCTGCATGATATAAGTAAGAAGTGATGGAAGCAAGGGTTTAGAGTTAGAATTTACATATTTTCCAGTTGGTCTTCCCAAAGTGATTGTTATTGAAATAATGATTTAATAGCTGAAAAACATATTGGTCCAAACAACTTAAATACAAGTAGTACAGAGTTGCTTATAGATTTATTTTAATTTCTTGTTTTATGTTGTGAATCTGTATGCAGTTTATTAATCTGATAAGAAATCAATACATTTGTTGCAGGGAGTAAACATTTTGGAAAATGCTAAATAAAAAAAATCTGGGATTTATTTAGGAGAAGGGATCAGTTGCATTTTATGATTAAATATTTTACTAAAAGTTACAGAAACAGAGCTGTGTTTGTGGTGTCCCGTCTTCAGTGTTTAGGTTGTCATATAACTGTTTAAGTTTCCAAAGATTGTATTACACATCTTTTAAATCCCATTCCAGCAGTATTTCATTTATTTGTGAATAAATATTTTTTTTGTGCCCTTTTAGCACTGATTTGTGACCTTGCTTTCCCTCTTCATTATGCTAAGAAATCTTCCTTATCTGTCTCTGGTTTTATGTGTTATTGTCCTATCAATTTTTTGTTTTTATTTTCTACTGATGAGGTTTACTTTAAGTAGACCTGAAGGGACTTGAAAACCAGGATTGAGTGTGTGGTGGATAGGTTTTTTAATGGACATGCTGTTGGAGAGTGAGCAAGGTAACATTCATTCAGGAAAAACTGGTTAGCTGTTCTCTGAAGGAGGGGTGGGGCTGTTGTAGTTGGAGGGTCATCTGAATTGTGATCTTTTTATCTGTGAATGGTTCTGGAGATTATCTTCCTCACAGCCCAGTCACAGACTAGACCTCCTTGGTTGGATAGGAAATATTACAGGATTTAGAATGATTTAGAAGAACATAGAAAAGTAAAGGTATGTGTAAAATGAATGCAAGTAGAAGTTTAAGGTAAGATATAAACAACTATTGGAGGATAGATGGGCTAGTGAGATTATAGGCAATGGGGTCAGAGATGTATGGGGTAGGTTTAAGAATGTAGTGTTAGTGTGTTAAGCAGAAGTTTGTGGTTATAGGAAAGTGGGTGTGGGAGGGAAGGAGCAATTGGTGGTATGATGATGTAAAGAGAGTAGTAATGGAGAAAAAGTTAGCATATGAGAGGTTTTTACAAAGTAGAAGTGATGCAAGGAGGGAAGAGTATATGGAAAGAAAAAGAGAGGTTAAGAGAGTGGTGAAGCAATCTAAAAAGAGAGAAAACGAGAGAATGGGTGAGATGTTATCAACAAATTTTGTTGAAAATAAGAA